GCTTTGGGACTCCCCGGACACTTGCCCTCAAAAAAAAACCCCCTTGCCTGCAGCACCCTCAGCGTTGAGGTTGGGTGGGTGGTAAGATCAAGATGTTTCTGTGTTGCTGGGCAGATGCTTTCCCTAGAGCACGCTGAGCGTCCTGGTCTCCAGCCACGTGTCCTGCCTCTACCCTTAGAGAGCTGGTCGGGTGGGCAGAGGTCCCCTGTGCACACAGATGGGTGTCCATCCCCCACAGCCAGGGCACCAGCACCCCTAAAGTGAACTTCAGGTGCTCGCGTAGATGGACCTTCACGCTTCTTGATGCTCCTAAAACACTATCACCGCTCCTGGGTGGCTGATGCGGGACGAGGGGGGACAGAGCTGCTTGGGGGTGGCTGCTGCTTTTGCACGGTCTTGGTGCAAGCAAGCATCTCCTGGGGTTGAAGCTCAGCTCTGGCTTTGAGCTTGCTGGTGTTGAAAGGGTGGAGAGACGTTTCTCGGACGGGGGCAGCAGGTGAGGCCCCTTTGGAAAGCTCCGTTTTGGAGGGGGCAGCAGAAACATAGCGGAGCGGCCACGGGGCGCCCGCGGCACTGGGCTCCTTCTGCCGCAGGTGGCGGACGAGCGCTTCTCCCCGGACGTGCTGAGCACCGTCAAGGAGATGAGCGTGGCCAACTTCCGGCGGGTGCCCAAGATGTCCGTTTACGGGATGGCGCAGCCCAGCTCCAAGGTGAGGGGCCGCTCGCGGGATTTGCGTGCTCAACCCAGGAGGAGGTGCTGGGACTTCATTTTTTTTTTGCTGCTGCCTCCTCTAGACTATCGGGAGCGTCCTGCAGTACTTGACCGATGCCAAGAGGAAGCATTCCCACATCTTGTGGATCAACCTCCGGGAAGAAGTAGTCCTGGAAGGGAACGAACAAATCTATACCCTCAGGGAACCTGGAAACCTTGAACAACTGATCACAGTGCCTGTCTCCTCGCCTGAACAGCTCGAGGTGAGCCCCTGGCCCCGTTCGCTCCCTCTCCTGCCCCATCGTCTTTCTTCCCGTGGCCAAACAGCGACTACTGAAGGTGTCTTAGCTGTGTAACCTCCTGGGTTCCTGGGCTACGTTGCGGATCCATCCTAATTTGAGCATATAAGATAGACAGCTGGGTTTGGGTGACGTATTAAAATGAGATGGTAACTTCTCCCCTTTAAAGGAATCTCTTTTCCCAGGAATATCCTCGCTGGACGGCTTTCAGCCTGCTAATAAATAAAAGCAGGAATAAAAAAAGTGTCTTTCGGGGCAGCCAGGCGGGCTCCGAGTGCCTTTCAGGGTGGCCGCAACCCCAAGCACAGGACAAGTGTTGACTGTGGGTGAGCGGAGGTTTACACCCATATATCTGGGACCGTTTGAAAGTTGTTGCCTGTATAAACACATCTGCCTGATGACTTGCCTGGCTGCTCTCTTGTGTCAAAAACCTTGTTCTCCTTGCCTGGGCCTCAGCTGTGTTCGTCCTCCCCTTCTCGCTCCAGTAACTTAATCCCTTGGCCA